CTAATCCATTTCAAATGAATGTTGCAAATTTTTATTTAAAACAAATCTACAAGTTATGTGTACATATTTTCGTATATCTTTTTGAGGTGCCTCTATACTAAGCTTTTTTAATAAAAGCATAGACAGACGACAGCGTGGACCCGTATTAAGTTTTAGAGTTAATTCTCAAATTTAATGCGAATCAGGGGCATATACGATGACAACAATTACCAAAACCCAGAGAATACATAGACCATGCAAAAGTAACCCGGATCTCTACTTGTTTTTGGTAATGCAGTTACCATACTAATTCAGATAGGAATCCAATTGAAATCAAATAAGAACTTATTTGACCGACGTTAAGGTAGATTTATTGGAATGAATCCAAAGTGGCATATTAAATATGATAAAATATGACTTCCACTTCGATAAGAATATCGAATAAACTAGTGCAGACACCGATTGGAATGAGTGGAACTTGAGTTTTCAAATAGTTTTCAGCGAAAACTGATTTTCCCTTGACATATTTTACATAGACAAAAACACCATTTGTCAGAACTCTCAACTAAAACTCAATAGGGCCGAGGTTCGATCTGCACTCCGAGCAATTCTTAAAAATCATTTTTTTTTTAATTTCAATTTTTTTAATTACCACCTACATATCGTCGTTTAAAGTACAAAACCGCGTATCAACAAAATGCAAAACCGCATATGTGAGGTTGCGTAAATTATTTTCTAGATAATAAAAACACTTCAAAATGGTCTCCTTTTTATAAAGCAATCGCATTTCTGGCTAGTATATTTCAGGGCGAATGGACAAGGATTGAGCCAAGAGCTTGTATGAGCAAATCCAACGCGCGATTTTGTACATTAAACTACGATATTTATCTATTTTTTTTTTACTTAATTTTTGTATGTTATTTCACACAACTGTTTTAGTTAATTGAAATTTAAAGTATAATTTTATTAAAAAAGACAACAGCAAATAAAATTATATTAAAAGTATAAAAGTATTTGAAGGATCTAAAGAGATTAATCCGCAATACTGCAGTCTGTCAGGGTACACTTTTGATCAGATCAACTGCGCCGTTAATCCGGATCAACATTGCCATCCTGTCTATGCTATAATAATCGACTAATCGTTTAATAGCTAGCAAAAGTTGCTTAAGAAATAGTCGAACTATACTAATAGACTAAAGAGCGGAATCCTACAAACTTGCCTCAATGCCGTCCAATCGAGGACTTTTTTTTTTGGAAATTTGAGTTCGCTGGCACACAAGAACAACTGGTGAGCTAAAAATTGTTAAGAACTCAAAACAATAATCCGTTCCTATATTCGTAAAATAGACACAAATGCTGTCCAGCGGTCATTCGGAAATACCCCTGCAATGCTCCAACGTACGGCTACCAGGAACCTTTTTCAACTATAAATAAATTTTTCTTAATGCTCTATAGCAAATAATTGTATTGCAAACTTTTGCGAAAAAATAAAATCAATCCTTTTTATTTTTTTGTCATCACCCGTTAGATGAAGTCGAATGCTTGCTATTCAGATATGGTTTGGATAAACCGTTTCTATCTGACTATTTGAATGGTAAATTTTAATAAAAGCCCTACATTACACCTCTTTAACTAAATTAAATTAAATTTGAATATTTATTTATACAGGCATGTATAATAAATCATCGAGAAAAGAATTAAAATTATATTCGAAACGGTTTTTAAGAAAGGGAATAAGTCAGCATTTTTCCGATATGGAAAATTTAATGCAGTTCAACAGAGGTCCCTTAAATCAAACGAACTGCAACAAAATTTTCATATCGAGAAAATGCCGACTTATTCCCTTTGGTAATTAACTGATTCATTTATACTCAAACTAACAACTACATTGTGCTCTACAAAATCCCCAAAAACATTTGGAGTCATAAATGAGTCATTAGAGTCGGGCTTTACTCTCACAATGAGCACATTTAAGCAGAGACATAACTATTACAAGAGAAAAGAATAAAAGTCAATCAATAATCATTATATTAAGAGAAATATTTTTCGAGTCATCTTTAATTATTATTCAAGGACTTATATTATTAAAGTCCTTTCATAATAATTATGAGAGATATAAATATTTTTAAGTCTTCAAAGACTTTTATTTTAAGTCTTATATTATAAAAGTTTTTTCATAATAATTATCATTGAGATAAATATTTTTAAGTCTTCAAAGACTTTTATTTTAAGAGTTATATTATAAAGTCTTTTCATAATAATTATAAGTGCGAAAAAATTTTTCAAGTCTTAAACGACGGGACTTGTTCTGGAGCATTTCAGGTTAGTTGGGGCCCAATTCGGGGTTAGGTGGGGAACAGTTTGGGACCTGTTAAGGCTTGGCTTGGGACCCGTTCGGGACTATATACAATTTTTTTTCGCACTCATAATTATTATCAATATACTTTTATAATATAAGTCTCAAAATAAAAGTCTTTGAAGACTTGAAAATATTTATCTCAACGATAATTATTATGACAAGACTTTTATAATATATGTCTTAAAATAAAAGTCTTTGAAGACTTAAAAATATTTATCCCGCTGATAATTATTATGAACTTCTATTATATAAGTCTTAAAATAGTTAAATAGTTATCGATGTCTCACAAATAATTATTATCAAAAGACTTTTATAATTCTTACCAAAATTTGGATGACTTTTTTAAAACTCCACCATGAAATAATTATTATTCTGGGTCTCTGCATTTAAGAGTCCGAAATGAGGCTGTAATTTTGGAATCTACATTCCAATATGCATTTAGTAGCAGCAGCTGCAACTAAAGTTTGTTTATTTTTTGTTTCTTAATTATTTTCCATATCTGTATAAATAAGTTTAGATATAAATTTCGAATCTTTATTGTTTTTGTTTTGGCACAAAGTGCTGGCTTATAACTTTTATCATATCTAACTCCTAAAAGATTCATACATATAAAAGGCACTAATTTTTTGTTTTTGAAACTCATATTTCTTACCCACCTAAATAAGGCTCCTTTCGGACTCATACATATATTCTGAACGCTCAGAATATGTTTGCGGGTTCAAAATATTGGTTTATATAAATAATACCATTTTATATATATTTTACATGTACATTGACGTGTTATCGAGTACCGTTATTTTGGTATAAAATTTCGAATAGAGCTTCATTCGATAACAAATGCCGTGATTCGGCAGGTATCTTTAACCGTTTCATTGTGCTTGAGGATACTTCTGAACCGGTTTCTTGGTTATGCTATTCTCAGTACGGTTTATAGTTTTCTTTTAACAAAAAAGAACATTCGGAAATTAGATTTTCGAAAAAGAACCTTTAACAAACGATCTACTTTATGAGTCACTATGTTTATGTACATATGTATTTATATCGAACGCACACATTGTGATTGCGATTTACGGGTATATTGTGAATATGTAAATATGTACTGACAAGTTTGGTATTATAAAAATATATTTTACACACTTTTTTAGCAGTGAAGAAAACGTGTGCGACAAAGAGAATATGTGGGAGATAAAAAATTCGACACAAAAGTGTGTTTACTCATTAAATTATATTTAGATTTGTAACAGCATAGTACTTAGAGTAAATACAAGTACAATATAAATATAGAAAACGAAGGAAGGTGATTAAAAAAAATATATATATATCCAAGAAAATTAAGGAAACTAAAAGAAAAGAAATATGTTTGTATTTTGAAGAAAATTATAATTCATAGTTGACTTAATAACAAATGCAATAAAAATTTTAAACCAGGCATGCTAACCTGGACTTAATGGGAATGCCGGTGGTTCGCCCAAATCTGTATCCGGACTGGAACGACCTTGACTACTACTGCCACAACAACTACTCACTGGGGACGATCTATGAGTTGGTGTGAAATTAAATCCATTGTTTATATTTAATTGAAACGTTGATGAGCGAGTGCTATAAAAAAATGAGCATCGAGAGAGAGAGAGAGACACAGAGAGAGAGAAAGAGAGATAACGAGGCGCGCGTGTGCGTGATTGGATTGATTTTGGTTAGGTTGATTGGCAATTATTAATTGATTGATTTCTGTTAGTTGCTTAGTTAGTAGTTAGATGGTGGTGCATCATTATTTATGTTCGATTGGACGTGTAGTGTGTATGTATGTATGTATGTATGTATGTATGTACGAAGGTTTGTTCGGATAATTATATGCAATGTAGTTAAAAGATTAATGGATCGGTGAGTAGTCCGAAAAAAACGCGGATTGTTTTCTGAGTGTTGGAATGAGTGAATGAGTGAAGTGTATGCAAGTTGTGATTATCTTGTTGGTTTATTGGGTGGGCGTTAAATGTGTTTGTGCAGAGTGTTATTTGAGTTGTTAAAAGTCTTCAGAAATCAGGCTGCGATTGGGGCTGTGCATTTGAATGTAGTGTGTGCAGGTATTTGTGTGTAACTGTGTAAATTTTTTCGGAACTATTACCGTTTATTCGTGGAAGTTTGCGTGCGTGCTGCATCTTTTTACTAAACTTTTCAATTACGTAATTAATTTGTACAATTTCATTAATTTACTTTTATAATTTCTCTCGTTGATTTATAAGTATATATTTACATGTATATGCTAAAAAAACATACATATTAAAATTGAATTATTTCATGTAGGGAAAAATGTTACAAATAAATATAAGAATCTAAGCCCAAACATAGACTAAATATTAAAAAAAAAAAAAAAAAAAATTATGCTAATGAGAATGCTATGCATCGTTGTTGATTCCTGTTACTTGAAAATAGGCTACTGAATATGTGATTTAAATATTATACTATTTACCTACCGTATTAGCTTTTATTTTGTTTTATTCAAATAAACTTTGTACACACATAGTTTACGTGAACATTTTTAACATCGCAATTTGAAGTCAGTTTCCATGCACTAAAACTAAAGAAATTCGACAAACTAATTCTTATTAACTTATTAAATAAAATGGTGCTCCCAAATTTACATTGGAAGTACCTACATTAAGCCGTATCACGGCATATGAAAGAAAAAAGTTTAGCGCGTGTCAGTTTTATTTAAACACTTATGTATGTCGAGAGAAAATGTTTGGTGTAAAAGTTTTTTAGGCACCCGCTTAAAACCTCTAAATCGCGTTTTGTGCTATAACTTTCTTATTTTATATCCGATTTTTTAAATCTTTATGTCGCTGAAAAGGTCTCACTCACTACTATAATTAGCCATTAAACAGTTTTGGCCTTCAAAACCGTTTTAATTTATACCTTCCCTAGTTTTGGAATTACTACCTAGACTTTTTTAATTTTATAGTATAAATCTAAAGTTTAAAAAAACGATGACGACCTTGCTAAAAGGGGTTAGGCTTTAGTCGATTATAGTCCTGAAGGAGACCTTTTCGATGATATAAAAGTTATAGCAAAAACGCTATTTAGCAGTTTTTTTCTCGACATAAATATTCAAATAAAACTGACACACGCTAAACTTTTTTTCGTGATACGCTTTAATGTACATACCTCAGACCGTGCCACCACACAACCGAACAAAAAACAAAGGTCGCCCTTATTCCTTATATTTTTTAAGTAGTAGTACATAATCTCAAAATAGTAGTAGTAGTAGTAGTAGTAGTAGTAGTGTAATCAAAATAGTTAATTTTCCTTCCAGTAGGAACGTACTAAAACATGGTACTTGAGGTCAATTAACTTTGTAAATTGCTTCCTCAAGTCAAGAACATCGATACATCATATCTTAAGTTCCGACTGTACATGCCGAAGATATGATGGATTGCCTAGTCTTAAGACTAGGGGGTTATACGGCAAACTTTTTTTCCGGTACGGTACAATGTGCCTACTTGGTATGTCAAAGCTAGCTTTGACCACTTAAAAAAAAAAATATATATATAGATATGTATGAGTTTAAGAGCCGTTTTCTTGTTCGGCAGTCAAATGTGAAAAAGCTCTCCACTGTAAAGGGGCCATACCTCATTGTTGTTTTGCCAAAACTGAAAAAGAAAAACAAGACTTACAACCGGAGCAGAACATAATATTATTTTTTGGTTGATAGAACAATCTTTATTTGAAAGCTCTTTTTTTAGTAAAAAATTAGCAAACAACTGTTACCTACATTTATTTTCAACTAATCTAATTTGGATTTTAATTATGTAATAGTATTTAATATATATTTTAAGATTTTTAAATTTCGGAAATTGTCGTTTTCGATTTTTATTTTTATGAAATTCAATAAATTCTTTTCATTTTCATTTTCAACTGTCATAATAAACATGGACATTTCATCATCATATTCTAAAATATTAATAACAACGACTGAAATTTATGAGTAATAGCGGATTTCACTGAGCTTTGAATGACAGCAATCATTAAAATAGTTATTAAGTTTATTTATAGGAGTGATCATTCCAATTCCAAATATTCCAAATTCCAAAATAAGAAACATAATCCAATAAGTATGTTAAAATAAGGTTATTAAGTCCTGTTTTTTATTTAAAACAAAAAAGGCAACGGCCCCGGCTTTCGCGAGAAGACGGCAAATACATCTAAGAGAGCTGTCGCCCTTGAAAGTACTAGGATCCATTAGCACCTAGCTGAAGGGACGAGATTTTGTGCTGAGTTCTGAGTGCATGATAGACCAGAGGTCGTTGAAGATGATTCAGGAACTAATTGATATCCAATTATATCCGTAAGGGCTGAGTTGAGACTAATTCATCTCCAATAATACCCGTATGAGACTGGTTGCGACTAATTAATGCCTAACTGTACCTGATTGAGACTAATCGCGGAATACTCTCTTTAGGGATTAGTCGGACAATTTTTTGCAGGGTACATATGTATGTACGTACATACAAACAGCATATATTAGGCGTCTTTTCTTTAACCTTCACAAGCTAATAGCTATAACAAAAAAAAAGAATTCAAGTATTCAAATTCAGTCGTTCTGTTAACGCTTACAATTTCCTTAAAATCGTGTCATATGATTGGTACATTTGTACATTTCTTATTTTGGGCTATTGGTACAAAATGAAAAAATTAGGATCCCATTTTTTTTTTTGTAGTCACACGATTGGTAAAATAGAGCCAACTTCTATTGAGAAATTTGTACTAATTGTTGGTCGTAGTTGGGATAAAGAAAAAATGTTTGTGCATTCACACGATTGGGCGTTTGCCCAAAATTTGGTGCAAATCCCACTGCCCTTTAGAGACTTAAAAATCTTAGTTCGAATGCACTAATTATCGCATTGGCGTCTTTCGTGGTAAGCAGACATGCATACAATTTTGATATTTTTTTTAAATTTTTATTTTTAATTACATTGTCATATTTTTGTGAATACATATAAATTTTTGAGCGTTGTTGTGTCAAATTAAAGATTTTACCTCTTCCTGATTGTCTGAAGCTTTTTGTCACCGAATGGCAACGCTCTAGTGTTTGGCTTTTCATGAGCCAATATAATTACGTTGGCTAATTCTTCCATACAAATAGCTTACATTTCAGTGAAATAAAACACGCCTATTTTACCTGTGTATATCGAACGCAAAATTGCGATAGAAGAGGCTGTTTGGCGTTCGTTTACGCATTACAGAGTGCCTAAAATGCGAAAGGGGAAAAATGAATGCCAAAAAGGGCAATTTTCAATGCGCTTGTCGCATTGCAGGGTGCCAATCTTCCGAATTTTCNAGCTGTTTGGCGTTCGTTTACGCATTACAGAGTGCCTAAAATGCGAAAGGGGAAAAATGAATGCGAAAAGGGGAATTTTCAATGCGCTTGTCGCATTGCAGGGTGCCAATCTTCCGAATTTTCGCAATTTTGCTATCGCATCGCATTACAGAGTAGCCCGCCTGATAATTGTTTCACCCTTTCCTCAAGAAACAATGGAAATTCTGTTGCAAACATGGGCTCTTTTTTCACAAAAAAACTTTNCCAAAATTTGGTGCAAATCCCACTGCCCTTTAGAGACTTAAAAATCTTAGTTCGAATGCACTAATTATCGCATTGGCGTCTTTCGTGGTAAGCAGACATGCATACAATTTTGATATTTTTTGAAAATTTTTATTTTTAATTACATTGTCATATTTTTGTGAATACATATAAATTTTNTGATATTTTTTTTAAATTTTTATTTTTAATTACATTGTCATATTTTTGTGAATACATATAAATTTTTGAGCGTTGTTGTGTCAAATTAAAGATTTTACCTCTTCCTGATTGTCTGAAGCTTTTTGTCACCGAATGGCAACGCTCTAGTGTTTGGCTTTTCATGAGCCAATATAATTACGTTGGCTAATTCTTCCATACAAATAGCTTACATTTCAGTGAAATAAAACACGCCTATTTTACCTGTGTATATCGAACGCAAAATTGCGATAGAAGAAGCTGTTTGGCGTTCGTTTACGCATTACAGAGTGCCTAAAATGCGAAAGGGGAAAAATGAATGCGAAAAGGGGCAATTTTCAATGCGCTTGTCGCATTGCAGGGTGCCAATCTTCCGAATTTTCGCAATTTTGCTATCGCATCGCATTACAGAGTAGCCCGCCTGATAATTGTTTCACCCTTTCCTCAAGAAACAATGGAAATTCTGTTGCAAACATGGGCTCTTTTTTCACAAAAAAACTTTAGAAAACCGTGGTAAAAAGAGCTATTATCATTATTCATCGATTGAACATTTATTTCTTTATTTTAGAACAATATTCCAAAATTTTATTTGCTGAGCTGTATAGGCACATACAGTATTCATTCTAAACATTCTGAGCTTAAAACTCGTAAAGAGAAAACATAAAAAATAGATACGAATTCATTAATTACACTAGTTTACACGAAAAAGGACTTCGCTCAAAAGTGTTTTTTAGACTTATTTAAGATCGCTAAACATGAAACTAAATAAGTCTCATTTATTTTTCCAAAGAACGTTTTCGAGATATAGGCAACAACCTGCTTTCTGTATTTTGCAGTTACTTATTGCCAAAAACTCAAAAAAAGCGTATACAACTTATTTTCTTTGGATACTTTTCGAAAGATATATATATTTAGCCTCATGGCGTTGATATATTTTGCGCGTCAATCGGAATAGTGCTTTTTGAGATGCAGTCGTTGAAATTCGAAAGATACGGAAATTTTCGAGCCTTTTCGAAAATTGTTTATCTTTATTCATTAATTTCAGTTGTAATTAAAAAAGTTAGGACGAAGGTCAATTTTATAACAAAAATGTGAAGCACAATGACGCTTAAATCGGACAGAAAATGTTAAAATTGTGACAAATTTAATAAAAGCCACCGATTTCAATTTTTGCTACTATCACTCTTTCAGCTGAGAATGGGTTTGTCCACACAAACAGCGGAAATGTTTAAATTTAATGTTTAAAACTAAGTTCAGATTTTTCGAGCCTCCACGGCTATTGCAAATGGCAACACTGCTCGTGAGTGCGAGATGCATTAATACAATTCCAGAAAGTATCTTTTTGAGTCCAAGAAAGATTTAGGGCTGAGTTCAAAATGTGTAGTAAACCACGGACCAGGCTTTAACAGCGATTTTCATATCAACCTAAGTAGTGTGAAGGGTTTAAACCCGCATGCCCCTATATTTAAGTTTTTGTTAAATTCAAGTTTGTTTGTGGAACGTACATACTTCACATTTATATAGAAACTTTATATTTTGCAAGCGACATGAATTTCAATAGTTATCTTTGCGACTATGCATATGAATTTAGTTAAACACTCGTTTTGGGTTAAGTTAACAATGGTTTTGCTACGCACTGTAAACTCGGCCTTAAGTGAAGTATTTCGAATCTCTTTGATTAATTTGCTAAATTATTCGTAAACAAATATTTGTGCATTCTTTTACGAAACCTTCACCACTGACTTCATTTGCGATTTTAAAATATATGTCGCACGCGCATCTTATTATTTACTTTTAACATTTCATATGTTAACCTCAACATAATAATACAAGAACTTTTCATTCCAACTGGTTCTCGACTTTCGTCGATCTGTATCTCTTCTCTTTGCATGGCGCTCATCTTCACTATAGCTAGTATTGTTCTTTGGCTGTGGTGTTGTGTTGTTTATTCTTGGTCTGGTTGGTTGCTGCTTGTATAGGTAGAGGTCTCTATATGCGGTATTTGATAGTTTTAATAGTGTTAAAGGTATTTGTTGTTGGTGTTTCTGGTGTCTGGTGTAGGATGTGGATGGGATTTTTTTCTGAATGATTTGTTGTTTTTACAGTAGATACCTGCTCTTTTTCGAATTTCTTTTATGCCTATGAAACCACCAGTCGAATGTATCACTCAAGTCCGATGTGCTGTTGCTTCCTTTCAAATTCTCCTGCTCGTGTCCTTCACTACCACCATCAGACAGCGGCGACTGATGGTGCGAGTGATGATGTTGTTGATGATGATGGTGGTGGTGGTGTTGGTGTTGGTGTTGGTGGAGCTGATGCTGCGGCTGGGGGTGGTGTAGATGCTGATGTTGTTGCAGCAGATGATGCTGCAGGTGTAGCAGTTCGTGGTGATGTTGGTTGTGGTGGTGATGATGCTGCTGCTGATGTTGATGCGGCGACTGTTGCTGTTGCGACGGCTGGTGATGCATGTGCAGCATATTAGCTCCACTACAGCTGATCGTCAAACCCAAACGATTGTTATTGTTTATGCTGCAAGTGTTGTTATTGTTGTTGGAAAAGCTGTTAATTTTACTAGCAGTAGCAGTTCGGCGCTCATCGGCGACCATAGTAGTGGGCGCAGATGTGGAGCAATAGGAGGCATTATTAGTGACAGCAGCAGCGGTTGCGGAGGCGCAATCGGCGGCAGAGGTGTAGGCGTAGGCGTAGGCATTGGCGGATGCGGATGCGGTGACGGACGCATGGCATGTAGGCACATTTAGGGAGGAAGAAGTAAAAGGATAACATTCATCAGCCTCAAGGGTGGTGGCTGTGGCGCTCGCACTAGCGCAGGCGCTGACGCCGCTCGCGCTAACGCTAGCACTCACATTGGCACTGGCAGCACATTCATCACACGCGCATACAGGCGACGACGCACACAAATCGAATTCACGCTCAGACGCAGACGCTGCAGATGCCTCGCTAGAGGAGCAATTATTTAGGCTTCCGGTGTGGCATGCGGAACAAGTGGTAGTGGTAGTGGTCGTTTCACGACTATTCGATAAATTTGATGCTTTACCCGTCAATTCCGAGTGCGCATGCGTGTAGTCGTCGGGCGGCCCAGGACCTGAGAGACACAAATATAGAGACACACACACATGGAAGAGGTTGTTGATGGTTGACAATCAAAAAAGGGTATTCAATCAAGCGGTCGATCGGTCAATAGGCGACGTTGGTCGAGCAGACATTCAGAGAGGGCGGGGATGAAGTGGATATTTGGCGTTGGTTACGATTTAAATTTCGATTGCAATTTCAGTTTTCGTCGAGTGTTGAGCGGATGTGCATGTAGATAATATATTTGTTTCAAGTGTACAAGCATGGGCGTGGTTTGTGTGCGAGGTTGAAGGCATTCCAATGCATTGGAGGCACGTTTACGTTATAGAACAGTTGATTACAGTTGCCGGTTACAGATGGAACGCGCAGCGGATTATTATCGATTTTGTGTGGAGGTTGATTCAGTGTTGGTTTAGTTTGGGTATTTTCATTTATTTGAGGTATAATTTTAATTTGAAAAAAAAAACAAATTTAACGGTTTTAGTTTAAGTTATGAAAAAACAAATTTTAAATGTACTCCTCAATGTAGAAGGAATGCACCTAAAGTAATTTAAATAATGATACAATACAGTCTTACAGATAATAATATTAAGCCAATTTTGAAAAAAAGTTTAAAAAATTAAAAAAAAAACAGTATATCGTACCAATTTTATTAGTACCTATATATTTTTTGTCCGAAAATTGAACTCGCTGTATAAAATGCTGAAAACCCTATCATACGCCTTCAACATTTTCGTAAAAGACGCCGGAAATGGACTACAAATTATGCATGTATGTAAGTAATTAGTTACTAAAGATTTTTTATATATCAAAAAATACTTCTTATTAAATTTAATCGCGCATAAAACGATAAGATTTTAGTTTCAGATAGTAAGTTAAAATAAGAAAAAAAATAAAATTAAATTTAAGAAATTGTAACAAAATAAATTACGTAGATATAATAAAATTATAAATAAATTAGAAATGAGTTGCAAAAAACACTTAAACGCTAGCAACAAAAGTGTCACAAACTCTAAAAATGTCACTGAACTTAAAATTGTATGTACAGTACGGCAAACCAGCAAGATATGTATGTAAAAAGCAGTTGAGAGAATTATTACAAAAATGGAAACTGCGTGCTTAGAACGAAATTAAAGCCAAAGTGAAATGCATGCAAATTATAAATAAATACACAAATAAGTTATACAGCCAAGGTCCTTTAAACGTCGCTCTATTCGGTTGTCTATAAGGTAAAAAGCCATTAGTAGTTTTTAGTGAATAGAGCTAATCTTGGTTAAAATTTATCAAACTCGTTTCTTATACAGTACAAGGGATGTTTCAAAAGTTATGATAAACACTTATTTACATTGCCAAATAAAGTTTTTAATATTATATGTATGTATTAAATCCGCTCAGTTACTTTTACTGCAGGCCTCACCGTTTCTCTGTTGTACTATTTATAAAACAAAATATCGCCCATTTACAAAAAGACTTTCCTAACTCAAAAGAGATGATAGGTTAACGATATGCTTAAAGTTTGCTTTCGGTTGCACTCATTATGCGTTGAGACTTAGCTGCAAATTTGGTTCTCACGTGGAAAATATACAAGTTTCGGAATTAATTTCTTACCTAAAATAAACTTTTATTAGGCCTGTATTGCAATAAAATGCCAAGTTTTAATTTAATTTTTTTAAAAGATGGTAACCCTCGTAAAAAACCTAAAAAAGATATTCCAAATTTGATCTAAAATCCGTCCAGCCGTTTCTTAGTGAAGATGGCTTTCGCATTGTAGCGCTTAAAGGTCTAACTGAAAAAATAAATAAATAAAAGAAAACCTTATCTATACATAGTCCCAGCAAACATTGAGGTTAGTTATCGATTAGAGAATGATTGGAGAACTAGCCACATTCTCCAATCTCAAACGTTAGAGAACGACTCGAAAAACTATCGAGAATCAAAGCGATCTCAACAAAAATGGGACATAGTTCTCGACTCGAGAAAATATTAATTCTCTAATCGAATTCGAATGTTGATCTCTAATGGGATTCGAATGTGAATTTCAAACTGCTCTTTTCCTTTGATAAATAATACGTTTTGTTTGCAAAATTTGTGTTGAATGCATTTGCAATGAAATAATAATGAATTATTTGAACTAAAACATTATTTATGATTCATTCATTTGGAATATTGCTTATTTACATTTATTTGAATTTGCGCTGTTTCTCTAATCGTTCTCGAATCGAATGCAGTTCTCTAACTTCGTCATCGACTTGAGAACGATTAGAGAATTACCCTAGTTATCTAATGTATAAATCCAAATTTCTCTAACGTTAGTGACTGTGTTTTCTGGGGAATAAAAGAAAGTCGAGACTCTTTGTACGCGCTAATCTCGAAAACTTCTAAAGGGATTTGAACGAGATTCTCTCTAATATATTCTGCATCGATAGGAGAGTGACCTTTGGCATTTAGGAATTTCTATAGGGTTGCTCCCTGTCTAAAAAAATTATAAGATTCACACCGTTTGTTACAAAAAATGAGGTGTCAAATGAATAGGGATTGGCCTCTTGATAAGCATAAATGTTTAATTTTTTTTAGTAGGGTTGCCCCCTACTAAGAACATTCTTATATTCAATTCTATTAAGCGAAGGTATCAGTTCTGCACATAGCCTCCAGATGTGCAAAAATGTCTTATTTTTGAGTAGGGTTGCCACCTATTTAAGAATTATAAGATCTTCAGCGTTAGTTGGATAACAAAATGAGACACCAAATGAGAGGGCATGGCCTTCGCATGTAAATTTTTTGAGTAGGGTTGCCACCTTTTTAAAAATTACTATTTTGTTCTAACATACGCCAATAACGCCAATCTCCAATGTGCGGCCGTTGTGGTGTAGTGCGCGCTACCATTCTGCATGGCTTGGGCTCAAGATGTTCAGTAATGTGTTATTTTCTGAGTAGGGTCGCCAATTTTTTATAATTACAATTCATCGTTCTTTGGACTAAAAAATGAGGTACCAAGTGAAAGGATATGGTCTCCGTATGTGCAATAACCTTTTATTTAAAAAAAAAATCCCACCTTACGTGAGGGCTTTTTTTGTTAATGAAATCAGATTTCCACAGTTCTTTCAATTATAAAAGATGAGGTGTCCAATGAAAGAGCTTGGCGTTCAGATGTGAAAAAAAGGTTTTATATTTTCGAAAAGAGTTGCCGCCTATACAAAAAAATATAGGATATATTAAAAAAGTGAGTCGTCAAATGAAAAAACTTGACCCTCAGATGTGATAAGGCTTTATTTTTTTTAGAATAAAAATATAAGATGTCAACTGAGAGGGCTTAGCCATTAGGTGTGCAATAAGGCTTTACATTTTTTAAAGAGAGTTGCCACCTGTTTACTCCAAATGCATATAAGTACATACATACTTATACACATATGTACAAATTCAGCGCGTGGCGAAGCCGGCTAGTATGTATATAATTTATTACTTTTTAAACAGGTGGCAACCTTCCTACTGGAGCCTTGGAAATCAAGCCTTTTGAAAACCTTTTCAATTCATATCCATTTTGTAATAATTCCGTTAACTTATTAATTAATTTTAATATAACTTTTTCAACAGGAGGCAACTCTCTTTTATATATTTTAATATTTTATATAACTTGTGTACAATTTAATCAAATTCGACTTCTCAAAGGGATGCACCCCTCTTCAAATTTTTTCAAACTAAAAACTTCTTAAACCTTTTTCGGCTGACCCTCCGGTTCAATTACTTAATATCCCTAATTCCAGCCGAACTTGACTCTTTAAACAGGTAGAATTGCCAAGTGTACGTGTAGTTTACAGTAAAGCCTTTTCAAAACCATTTCGATTGATACGCATATTTTAATAATTCCTTTAACTTATTAAACAATTTTAATTTAGTTTTCAACAGGTGGCAACTCTTTTCAATAAATAAAAAATAGAATATCTACAGGAATCATTTTTCATTCAATTTTAGTAGAATGAAGTG